CAAACAAACAAAATTAATAGAAAAAATATCCTCCAGTGAGGATTAACAACAACAAAAACAGACCTTCTGTGTGGTTCAATGCTAGACCTTTTCAACTGGTATGACTATCTGGAGGCAGTGTCCACGTACTTGAATTTTTTTTTTTTTTTTATCCTCACCCGAGGATATTTTTCCATTTTTTGTACAGATAGAGAGGGAGGGAGAGAGAGAAAGAGAGAGAGAGAGAGAAACATCGACGTGAAGGGAAACATCGAGTGGCTGCCACACGCACGACCAACCAGGGCTGGGGACAAACTGCAACCGAAGTACGTGCCCTTAGCGGGAACCAAACCCAGGTCTCTCCGGACCGCAGGCTGACGCTCTAACCGCTGAGCCAAACCGGCCAGGGCCACGTACTTGAATTTTTAACAAGTTCTCTGGGTGATTCTACCAGAACTAACCCATGGATTAGCATTGAGAAACACTAGCAGTCTGAATCCCATGTCTAGTCCAAACACTCAATGCTTGTTGAAGCAATGGGAAAAGAGGGAGGAGAGGAAGGTAAGAACTAGTAGGAGACCATGGCTGGATGAAGTCACAGCACATTTTAAAATATCACCAATTAAACTATTTATACTCTATATATTACAGTCTCAAGAATATCTCAAGGTTCTTCATTGTAGTTATAGTTCAATATGAACAAGCAAAAACCAACTCACACATAATTAAATGAAGAACATAGTTCAAAAGCAGTTAATTGTATTCACATTTAAAAACCAGAGAAAAACCACATAAATAAAACATACCAATCTTTCCTCCTACTTCCTGCCAATGGAAGTTCCATTCATTTATTTCTAACAGTTTTAATATTCTCTGAGCCACAATAAAATTTTATGTGATGGAGATTAGAGAGGCTATGCTATTGGGAAGTTTGGCTGCAGACTCTATATTTCATGCCACTTCATTACATTTTGTTAAGGATTTCCCTCTTCACCAAAAGGATTAGTTTTCTTCTCACTCTGAATACTCTTCTTAGGTTGTTAGTGTGAACTAGGTTAATCTCTCTCTTTTTTAACATATAAAAGATGAACAAACAAAATGTTCAACTTATTTTATTTTTTAAATAGAACACTAAATTTAGTCTTAGAATCTCTGTTTGGTAAGTTTCCAGTTACAAGGTCTTGGCTTCCTTTGAGCACAGTTTGAAACAAAACAATGCAGTTTGTTCCTGCGGCCGGAACATGCAGAGTGGAGTGTGCAGGCAGAGAGGCCTGGCTCTGGTCCAGTGCTTCCAATCTCCTTAAGCCGCCACTCTCATCTCTGCTCCAAGGGCTGCAGACAGGCAGACAGGATTAGTTCTTTCTGGTCCAGAACAGCTAGGAAAGCTTTACACACATCATTCAGGCACTCAAACCATTACACAGGTTGGCATGGTCACAACCAGGTGGAGTTCACCAGGAACAAATTGAAAATGAAGCCAAATCTGAAAAACTTCCACATCCACGAACTGACCCTTCTTAGGTCACAAGACCAAGTGGTAGTAAGACAATAGAAGCTGTTGGTGGGAGTGGGCGGGACAGAAGTTTGGGAGGGTACCCATCCCTTCACAGCAAAACTGAAGCTCTACTAAGGGCCAGACCTGAGGGTGCTGGTGGGGAGACAGAGCTATCACCCAATACCCTCCAGGGCCTGTCCAAGGCACACATTCTCTGGGACTAATACTTAGTTAGGAAGAAAATGACAGAGAGAAAAGATATCAGTTTCGTTACCCACCCACCCCAATCCCTCTATGGGGTATTATCAGAAAAGTAATACTTCTTTTCAGAGTTATAGGTATCACACAAATACTTAGGTGTGGAGGCTCAATTAATGAGGTAATGGTCTTACCACTATACTGTGCTTCTTTTCAAGAACCTGTTTAAAAAAGCATTTGCTGAATAAAACAAATATATGTTCCTTTGGGAAATTAATGGGCCTTTGTTAACATGTACTGAATATTCTTAATGTTTAAAACTTCTTGCAGTAGCCCTAAATTATGGGAGGGGCAATTAGGACCAAGGTACACAGGGCTGGTGGGAGCTGCAGCACATGAACCCTGCAGCCAAGGAGTCAGGGAAGACATGCCCAGGGACCCACCCAGGCTGTGCTCACTGCAGGGGGTCAGCACAGGTGGGGCTGGGAGCTGAATCTGAACAGTGCTCAAGGAAATGGGGTTCTGGCCAATAGAGTAAGTGTGTCTGTTAGAAATTCACATCAGCCTTCGGTTTTGCTGGTACCAAAAGCAGCGCCAGGCACGGAGAAAGTGCCCACTGAATCTGCAGAAAGCTTAGAGTCCATTAAAAGGTAATGGCCAGGCTGACATTCTGTCTGTGATTTCGGATCGGGGTCAACCTAATCATGCCAAGAATATTTCTCTGAGGACAAGGGTCAAAGGGAACTTATGACAAATGGAGAGTTACCCAGAAGGCAGTATGAGGTAGCAAGAAGGGGGTTAGCTTGAAGCCAAGTGAGGCAGGTTTTAATTCCACCTCTGCTGGTCACCTTAGACAAGACACTTCCACTTCCCAAGTGCCAATACTCTCATCTGCAAAACAGAATAAAACTAGCTCCTAGGGTTATTGCAAGAGTTAATAAGGGAAAAATATAATTAGCACAGTGCCTGGCACATAGTAGGTGGCTCCAAATGGTTCACTTAAAATAATTTCAAATTTGAGAGTATGGCTCTAAACAAGGGTGTTCTGTACGCTTAGTGTGGGTGCTGCCAGCATATCTCTTTGGTAGTCTTGGAACTATTTTCAAACTATACAAGAAGCTCCTCTAATTACTATCCAGTCAGGACTTACTTTCACCCAAACAAACAACCTATCTATCAGATTTGGCTTGGACTTTTTTTTTTTTTGGTTCTTTATGAGGATTCTCAAATTTCCTCAGTGGGATGAGAGATATATTCTTAACAATGTGTCTCTGGCCCTTATGACAGTCCATACACAAGGATTCTGACAACAGTTTGAGAGGTGGCACCCAATAAACATGACCTGGTCCCCAAGGCAAGTACTTTGAAGGGGCTAAGATCCCTTTGGATGTGTAATTCCTGGATGTTCCCCCCTTGTCTGAGCCAAAGCCTTCCCTCCCCCAACACTCATAATGATGACCTACTGGCATGCCCTTAGCTACTCCGTCTCTCCAATAGGCCCTTCCAGGACTGCTGTTGGAATTACATATCATCTGTATAAAGGTTGTATTTCAGACTTACCTGTTACCCATAGAGTTACCAAACAGCATATAAATTTAAACTCAAGATATAAAAATCTGGAAGAAAAATGGGGCCTCTGTGCTAGAAGAAATCACACTGAAGTATTTACATTACAGAACAAGATTTAGTTAAGCCATCCCTATTTATCATTTATAAAGGAAAACAATCAATATACATTAACTGAGCAAAGAAAACAAAAACTTACATTTTTCTTATACAGAATTATCACATTATTGACCCAGAAAGCCAGAAATGAGTATTTTCTGACTCTGAACTAAGTAGTGCTGGGCTGTCTCTGTTGCAGCAGTCATCTTTACAGAAGATGGCATTCTAGAGTGTTCGGCAGCTTTTATCTTTCATCTGCTTAATGGGTTTGAGAAACACTAGGCCTCCATCTTTCAAAAAAAATTGAGAAAATGTAGTTTGTCAAGGTATGACAAGTCACATCTCGATTTGTCAAGAGAGGGTCCTCAGGAACCTCAGGCTAAAATAGCCTTTGTATATTCTGCCTCTCATCAAAAAGATGGTAAAGAGCCACCACTGAGGAAATAAAAGGCAACAATTAAAGAACGGTTAAATTCTGAAACTGGAGTGATCCAAGGGCTTGGCTAAAAGTGACGTTTTGTTTGGTGCCTCCTTCCCCAGAGAAACTTGCACACGACTCATCAGGAAGCAACTGACCACAAGTGAGGCAAAGGGCACCCCGTCTCACTAAAGAGGTGTCTACTGTCCATCAGTGAAGTTCATTACTCAGTGAAAATACTCTTTACCCTTACTTAATTCAGTAATCACATGCAATGTTTATGTCCTTATTTCTAAATAACTATTTCTTGATTTAAAATGTTAAGCCCCATTATAGATGTTATTATTACAAACATATACATATATTATATGCTAGACTCTGTTTTAAGAGCTTTGCAAGTATTAACTCATTTTAATTTTATTTGACATGAAGTCATTGGTGACCTGGACAAAAGCTGTCTCAGTGGAGAGGTGGGGACTAAATCCACAGAATACTGAGGAGAGAATGGGAGAGAAATTAGACAGTAAACTGAAATAACTCTCTTGAGGAATTCTATTCTAAAAGGGCAAACAAAAATGGTGTAAAGGATATGTGGGTCAAGGAAGCTTTGCTTTAAGTCTGGGAGATCCTATATTAGCAAGCTCCTAAGAAGGCACCAGTAGAGGAGGAAACATACTGAGGCAGACTGCCGGAGGGACTCCCTTCAGGCAGCAAGAGCACTGCAGTGTCACCTCCTCAATGAGGCCCTCTGTGGCCATCTAGCTAAAATCAAGATCCCTGCCACCTCACGGCTCCGTATCCACTCTCCTTCTCTGCTTTATTTCACTCCTTCACTACTTATCATTAGGCTACTGTAAACACCACTATAAATACAATATATTTAACTTACTTTGTTTATTCAAGGTCTTCCCTAATAGAATGTAAGCTTAATGAGGACAGAGATTTTTGCCTATTTTGGGCACTGTTGTATCCCCAGAGCCCACAAAAGTGCTATGAAAAAGACTTGTTGCACGAAGTCAGGGGAACAGAAGAGTGGGGCCTTGGGGGGACAGACAGTTCATCCACAGTGGGGAAGGCGGAGTGGAAGAGGAGAGACCCACAAGGCTGAGAGGGGTGGTGTGGGCTCCTGCCGCCCCTCTAAGGGCTTTCCTTAGATAAGTGCAGAAATTTCAGGTTACAAATTACTGTCCCTTAGAAGTCTGAGACATTGCTTGACTCTTCTGGTTTCTGAAATAGTCACAGCAGGCCCTGGCCGGGTAGCTCAGTTGGTTAGAGCTTTGGCCCAATACGCCAGGGTTTTGGGTTCGATCCCCAGTCGGGGCACATACAAGAACTAACCAATGAATGCATAAATGGGTGGAACAACACCCCCCCAAATCAATAAAAAAATAAAATAAAATAAAATTGTCAGAGTAAAATCTTGTGCAATTTTGATTCTTAGCCTGTGTACAAGAATTACTTTGTCTTTATTCCTGTATTATAATATTTCATAATAAAAGGGCTTAGTGTCTTTTTTAACTTTTCAAAAATTCTGAAATATATATATATATATATATAAATAAAAGTATGTGTATCAGCCCTGGCCGGTTTGGCTCAGCGGTTAGAGCATCGGCCTGCGGTCCTGAGAGACCCGGGTTCGGTTCCCGCTAAGGGCGCGTACCTCGGTTGCAGTTTGTCCCCGGCCCTGGTCAGTCGTGCGGGTGGCAGCCACTCGATGTGTCCCTTTCACATCGATGTTTCTCTCTCTCTCTCTGTTCCTCTCTCTCCCTCCCACTCTACCTGAATAAAAAATGGAAAAATGTCCTCGGGTGAGGATAAAAAAAAAAAAAAAAAAAAAAAGCATGTGTATCAAATAACCATCTTTTACAGGGGAAAAAAAAAAACTTATAACTTCAAAACCTAGCACCTAACTCAATGATTGACAAATACAGCCTGAAGGCCAGTTTGGCCTGACTCTTATTTTTATAAATAAAACTTTGTTAGAACACAGCCATAGCCACTAGTTTACTGATTATAACCTACAAGGTCAGAGTCCAGTAGTTACAGCAACTGGACTACAGAGCTATATTCACTACTGAACCCATTACAGAAAGGTTTCCTGACCCCTATCCTAGCTCAAGACAAAAACAAACAAACAAACAAACAAACAAACCCCCACAGTTTTGACATCCCCTGTATGCCTCTTTCCAACTATATTATTTTCACTCCCTTTGAGGACACTATACCTAAAATTTGTGTTAATCATTTCTTTTATCCCCCTTGTAGTTTGTATGTGTCCCTAAGTAATGTCCCACTCAGTTTTTCTTACTTGAACTTTACATGAATGAAATCATACTGCATGTTCTTCTGGAGCATGTTTCTTTTACTCAGAATTCTGTATGAGAGACCTGATCGTGTTGACAGTGTTTATTTTCACTGATACAGTCAGCACTCCATTGTATGGCTACACCACAATGTATCAGTTCTCTGTTGATGGTCATGTGGGTTTAAAACACAAAAACACATGCTGCTATGAACATGCTTTTATGTGTATCCCACTACACATGACCAAGAATTGTGTACCTACACACACAATTCTATCCAGCAGTGGTCAAAAGAAGCCAAAAGATGTTCACTGCAGTGTCATCTACTAAAGGATTAAGCTATGGACAACTGAAATGGCCATCGAGAGAATAAAGATTTAGTAAATGATGACACATCAGTATAATGAAATATGATACAGACATGTAAAAACTGACAATGATGGAAGCTTATGTGGAAATATGCAAAGTGTTCATAACACACGATCAAATGGAAAACTATTTATAATTGATTGTGAAACTACAAGAATAAATGAAATGTGCATTGGCACTGTAAAGGAACATGAATAATTAATGAGATGACATGTTACTATCTGAGGAGATTGTGGCTGATTTCTTTTTCTAAAATTTTCTTTAATCTTTCCAATACATCCTTCAATTGAAATGAAATAATTAAAAAGCACATCTCAAGACTGTCTACTCACAGTGCTGAGTTTGCTGCAGATGATGAGTATCCGGCGCTCATAGAGCATACTGGCGTACAGATGTAACATGTTGTTTACGTCCACGGCCACAAAATATTCTGTCAGGTTTCTCTAGGAGAAAGAAGAAGGGGAGGTTTGTGCCTTATTTTGTTGGTTCTTATTACAAGCAATATCTAATAAAAGCATGAAAAACAGAAAGTAATCAGGAAGTATACTCTTCTCTTCCCCTGTCCTATTCTTCCTACCTGGGGACCAAGTATGAATCCATTCATGTATAAAATCACAAAGTGCAGAGTTGGAAGAGACCTTAGAGATGAAGCAGTCTGAGCAATTATACCTGTGTGGTGATTACAGTTCACAGCATGAGGTCATACACAGCACTGCGCTGCTTTTCTCAGGAGCTTCTAAAGGTAAGCAAGACAGGAAGTCTGAAACCTTACAAATGAGAAATCCAAGGCTCAGAGAGATACGCCAAGATCAAAAAGTCTAGTAAGCAATGAAGACAGGACTGCAGCTCAGATCTTCTGACCCAAGATCCCAGAACTTTCCCAATGCACCGTGACACACGTCTAAGCAAAAGAAAGTACCCAGGACCTAAATGTTCCTGGCACAGAGCCCATTTTTGTCCAACTGATCCTACCCACAGTGTGCTCCTCTCCTGTCATCACGGCTGGTGTCCCCCTCCTCCACAGTTTACATTCTCTAAAATGACTTGGCTAGAATGAAAGCAATTTCGAAGATTTATAATTTCCAGGTATTTCACTCAAAAAGAAAAAAAAATCAAAGGCAAGCAGCAGCAAGTTGTGACAAAGCTGTGCTTTAACTAGCTTTTGTCTGCAGCCTGGCTTCATTCCTTTAATTAGTACTATAGATTGGTACTCTTCAGACTTCAGAAGAAATGTAATGCGTTTCATTTCTGCAACCCTTTCTATACCCACCTGACTTTAATAATACACATGAATATGCTAATTTCTTCAATGTTACAGCTTTTCAATGCCACACAATATAATCCTCTGAAAATGAAGGGGGAGGGGAAGGAAGGAACACTATTGTCAGGGGTTGCAATTTATAATAATGAAAGATCTATAACCTATAAATTCAAGTAAACCAGGTGGATTTTACATGCAAAATAGCATAAAGTACTTTTGGACAATATTATTTATGGGTTGGGAATAAAAACAGGCACTTATCTTACATTTATTATTGTTTGATTGGAGTACCAGGTTAACTATCGACCTTTATAAATAGTGAATTAATAGCTTCATGCATTGACTTCCTACCAAGTACCAAGAACCATACGAGGTACTGTATATGTATAATCTTATGCAATCTTCACAAAAACCTCCTGAGGTATTATTCTTTCCAACATATAGATAAAGTAAGTCTGGGAGAGATCCAGTAACTGGTAGAGTTAGAATTTGGACTTAGATCCAACTCCATAGCCCATACACTTTCCCTTACATTATATCGTCTCACTTAAGTACTTTATTTTATTTTTTATTTTTTCCAATCCTCACTCAAGGACATTTTTTTTTTCTATTTATCTTCAGAAAGAGTGGGAGGGAGAGGGAGAGAGAGAGAAACATCTCCATGAGAGGGACACATCGACTGGTTGACTCCCACAAGACCCCGACCAGGGCCGGGGATGAACCGCAACTGAGGTTCGTGCCTTTGGCTGGATCGAACCCAAGACTCATTGGTCCGCGGGCCAATGCTCTAACCACTGAGCGAAACTGGCAAGGGCCCACTTAAACATCTATAATATACAAGGCTTTACATACATTATTTCACTTAATCTTGAAACAGTTCCTTGAACAGGTGTTATTATCTCTATATACAGATAGAAAAACAGAGGCACAGAGAAATTGAAGTAATTTGACCGAGTTTAGACAGTAGGCAGATGAGGCATTATTCCGTCTTGGCGGGTCTGTCTCTAAAGCTCTGTGTTTCCTTTTCATTTTTTATACTTTTTAAAATCCTCACCCAAGGACATGCTCATTAATTTTTATTTTTTGTCTTTATTGATTTTTAGAGAAAGAAGAAGGGAGAGGGAGAGAGAGAGATAGAAACATCGACAAGAGAACATCGACTGGCTGCCTCCTGCATGCCCCCCACTGGGGATTGGGCCCACAACCTGGGCATGTGCCCTGTTTGGGAATCGAACCGGCGACCTCCTGATGCATGGGTGCTCAACTGCTGAGCCACAACAGCTGGGCTGTTTATTGATTTTAGAGAGAGAGGAAGGGAGAGGGAGGGGGAGGAGAAAGAGAGAGAGAGAAAGAAAAAGAGTGACACTGATTGGTTGCCTCCTATAAGCACCCCAACTGGGGACTGAACCAGCAACCTAGGTATATGCCTTGACCGAGAATCAAACCTGCCACCCTTCGGTGCACGGGACAACACTCTGGGGTAGGGACAACCGAGGCTGTGCTCTTCTTTACACTACTAAAATAATAGGTGAGGCTGTATTCAGAAAAGGAAAGCATAGCATAGTAACAAAGAAGGACCAAAGTGTACCTAAAAAAAGAGAAAAAATGTTTCTGTTAAAAATTATTGTTATCCTATTTACTGAGTAATCCTTATGTGCCAGATGAGAGGCACTACCTTGTTTTCGCTCATTTTCTCCAAAACCCTGAGAAGGGTATTATCATCTCTATTTTATGGGTGGAAAACTGAGGCTCAGAAGGTTAAGTAGTTTTCCAAAGGTCACCTCGCTAGAAAGGGCCAAGTTTCAAAATCAGGTCCCCTGAATCCAAAACTCTTGCTCTAACCATCACACCAACCTGCCTCTTAACAAACTTGAAAAGTAAAACAAAACCAAAAAAAAGGAAAGGCAGTCTGAATTAGTCAACAAGCTCATCTCTTACCCAGTGGACTGAGGAGCGCTGAGCTAATGATGTCAGGGTGGGGCTCGTTCTCAAGACAGTGACATGGCTCAGCTATTCTCGCAAACAAAAACACAAGGCCCTCCGCTGAGCATTTCAGTAAAATGCTTAACTGCTGATGAATTACATGCATTTTCTTTTAGGAGAGGATGGAAGTAAAAAGAAAATAGAAATGAGGAGCTTAAAGAAGGCCAGAAAGCCCATTAGCACTTTTGACAGATCCAAAGATAACTCTGAAGCCACCAAAACGTGGCCTCAAGAGTCTGCCAAGAAGCTTCACGCTGGGTAGAAATATGTTACACAGCTTGCCGTCCAAATAAGGAGACACAGCGTCAGAGACAAATCCTGTGCCTTATTTTGGTGGGAGAAAAAAAAATCACAAGGATACTTTTGTGGATGGGGAAGGGAACATCTCTGAAATTAAAACACCACTTGGTTGAGGCATAACCCCCAGGCCCAATAATCATGTTCTGAGAGATTCAGGTGCTTATTCCAAAAAGTCTACACAGGTATGTTAAAAATATGTAACATTTAGCCAAATTCTCTCTAAACTGTCATGTACTTTTTTTGGTATTTCTCATCCCATCTGTGCTGATTACCAAGATATTTGTGTCTAAACAGAAGCTGTCTTTCTTATCTGCTTCCTCCCAGCCTCTTTCCTTCTGGGATGCCACTGCCTAGGCGGGTAGGAGTGGGTGGGAGTGGTGACAGCCCTGGGAGCCTTGCTCGGCCATGGGAGCACCTGGGAGGCAGCTACAGGGGGGCACTTGCAGTTCCTGCCCAGCTTCACCTCAGAAGAAAACCCCCTGGAGAGAGGAGGCTCCTTCCCCATGTCTTATAGCATCCAGAGGCTTAAGCCTCACCAAACCTCAAATTCTTATACCTGCCCTACCTTTTCTTTTTTAAATCCCCACCCGAGGATATTTTCCTATTTATCTTCAGATAGAGTGGGAAGGAGGAGAGAGAAAAAGGGAGAGGGAGAGAGAGAAAAGGAGAGGGAGAGAGAGAAAAGGAGAGGGAGAGAGGGGGAAAGAGAGAGAGAGAGAGAGAAAGGCGGGGGGTGAGAGACACACATCAATGGTTGCCTCCCACACGAGCCCGACCAGGGCTGGGGAGTGAACTGCAACCGAGGTACATGCCCTTGATTGGAATCAAACCCACAACTCTTTGGTCTGTGGGCCAACACTCTAACCCCTGAACCAAACCAGCAGGGCCTGCCCTACCTTTCACACCTCCAGGCCTTTATTTCTGCTGTCTCCTCTGCCTAGAATGCTCTTCCCTTCCTTGAGGACACTGCATAGTTTTCAACACCCAGCTGAATGCCACCTCCTCCTGGAAGGCTCCCTCGACTCCTCCTGGTGAAGCTCCCTTGTGCTTCCATGGCACTTTGTCCCTATCTTATAATAGAAACAGGCACTTATCTTACAATTTATTATTGTTTGATTGGAGCACCAGTATGTTTTTGTCACTAGACTGAGGTCCCTTTGGGAGATGACCTAGCTCGTCATCCAGCAGTCTGAAGAAGGAATAAATCACTGCACGGAGAAAGCAGCTGCCTGGAGACTGCTGACCCACGGTTTGAGCGTAAGCAGTGTCCTGCAGGAGGGACCACCGGCCTGGAAGCAGGACAGGTGGTATAGTAGAAGAGCACAGAGTCACTTCAAAAAACCTGGGTCTGAGTCAGATGAAGTGATTAGTTACTTAGTAATGGTAAAGGGCCCACAGAAAAATAATTGACACGTGACTGACAGATAAACTATCTGGGGAGTGTGGGTGGGGCCTTTTAAAGGTAGCTGTAGCAAAAAATTAAAATAAAGGTTATCTGTGGCTACATCTATTAAAAGTGTAAAGAAATATATGTTCATCAGGTAATGGTGGTGGGAGAGACTGTACACAGAAGCGGGTTCATTTCACAGATGGGTCAATCATATTCCTCAGACAGAGAAGATCAGAGTGTAGGGAACGGGGAATAAGCAGAGAGGCTTCCATGACAAGTTGTCCTGGGTCAAGAGTGCAGCCAGAACATGCTGTGAGCTTGTGATCATAAAAGACTCAAGGTGTGCCACTCCGCGAGCACTCTGCGACAGTGGAGCTGTCTTCAACCTCCCGTTCCTGTCTCTACAAACCGCCCAACAAGCATTTACTTAACTCCCACTATGTGTTTGGTACCATCCTGGCAGCTGGACTTAGCAGAGTGGAACTAAACACGATCCCCACTTTCCAGGA